GACATTCCGCCTTAAACACGGGAAGGCGAGCTGGGGTGATGAGAGTATTTTTCGCAGAAGCCTTCCGCGCCGCGTATCTCCCTACATTCCTTGTCCTTAAACTATTTTTTGTCTTTAACTGCTAGGTTTTAATTTTATTCTTATTTATGTAGTATTATTATTATTATTTACGATATTATTATTTTTACTGTATAGGTTAGGCTTTTATAGTTTTTTATTTTTTTATTTTTTTTTTCTTCTATTCTTTTCTTTTTTCTCTTTCTTTTTCCATACAATTCGGAGTGCGATACAAGCGTGAAACAAATTTATTTTTTCTTTAGTTTAACATCCGAACAGAAATCGCACTTCGCAGCTCGCATTCCGTACACTGTATTCCGCCTCTCAAACTTGTGCTTTTATGAGGAATGTGATTTTTTTTCCGAATTTACCGCAGGGTTTCTCAACAGGTCGCCGATTCGTAGGCAAGCAATCACTCGCTCATATACAGATACAGTACGTGTTCATATTCGTATACATATGTATATACATACGCAGATACATATACATGTGCATACATGTACATATGCATATGCATATACACACATGCACACATATCTATAAATGTATATATGTATGTATCTATATATATACATAAATACTTATATGTGTGTGTATATGTATATATATATGTTCACACATACATATATGAATACGTATGTGTTTGCATATGTATATATATACATAAATACACATATATGTATACATATATATACATATATGTATGTATGTTTATATATGTGTAAGGAAGCCTTTGAAACGCAATAGATTTGTCAAAAAAACAAACGCGTTTTTGTTTATCGGAATTTTTTGCCTTTGTTTTCTCTGTCTTTGCGTATATTGTTTGTTGTTTGTTTTGTCTTATTTTGTGTTTTAGTTTTAGCCTGCCTGAGAGTCGTCTTTTTTGTTTCTTTTTGTATATACTTTTGTTTTTATTGCGTCTTTTTGCCCGGTTCTTATTGGTTATATTGAAAAAAAAAATACCTTTTTCTTATTACCCTATTTATCACAAGATAAATTGCCTGCTGACTCATCCTAGAGTGAAGGTACATCTTTTCAAATGTATTTATATACATCTGAATGTTTTGTTTTCTGTATTTGTATTTTTTCTCTTAATATATTTCGACATCCCACTTCATATTTTTGTATTGTAATCTGATTTAATTTTATATTATTTTACATGACTGATGACGTCATAGTGTATACATATGACCTAGTTTCCCTCTAAATACAGTCTATATCAGTCAGTGCATGTATTATTTCCTTTTTATACCCGAGGACAATAATTGCCAGAGTCATAATAACAAAAAAAGTTAAGTATTGAGTTCCTGATAATTTTATTTTACTAGGAGCTGGACGTTATCTCTATTCTATTAAGGAAGTCATCAACAAGTGACAAAAGCTTTGAAGCCCTGCCACCAACAGATGATGCTTTTTCAGCATCATCTCTATTTCTCTCCCTCTCTCTATTTATGTCAGGGGTTTTGTGTTGCCCTGATTTGGTGGGTTATGGAGACAATTCTGGTTCTGCTGTTTATTGATAGAATGGTCAATGGGTGTCTGTTACAACATTCCGAACCCAAAACTACCACCAATTTGATCCAAAACATGATGCCTTGATCACTGGACCAACTTATTGAATGACCCATGATGGTGCAATTTTCGTGGTGGGTTTGGCCTTTAATATGTTCACCCTTGGGTCCTGCTGACCTCTCCGGCTGACACAAACACAGTTTCACATAGATCTCTCTTTATTGCCATGGCGGTTCCGTATATATAGCGACGTCTTGCTGACATCACTGCCATCATTTTCACTAATTTTATAAATATACATAATTAGAATATGGAAAACTGACGGTACATAGTTGATAGTTTAAGACAAATAATAAAAAACCATTGAAAAATAAAGCCTCTTATAAGTACTAACGTCATCGACATATCTAAAAGAATAAAAAGGAAGATTTCAATATTGTAAAACATGAATAAAATCATTTAAAGGATAAAATCATATCACTAAGATGCAAATACATGTAATAACAAGACAAGTTTATAAAATGAAAATGACTAACACCGTCATGCTCATTTAGAGAGAGAGAGAGAGAGAGAGAGAGAGAGAGAGAGAGAGAGAGAGAGAGAGAGGAGAGAGAGTTATAATTTTCATGTGAAACTGCTGCTCTACAAGACTGTTTAAAAATCCTGGAAAAGGCAAGGAAGACTGCACTAAGTAGCTTATCAAAACTACACATATATTAATAATTAAAAAATATTCATTTCCTACTTCTTAATGTTAATAATAATGTTAATAATGCTAAAGGTAATACCAGTAGTTTAGTCCCTGTGGGTTTTTAGCAGAGCCAATGACCTTCGTTGTTCATGTTCATATAAGTATCTCATCTCATCAGGTCAGTCTTCTGCAACAGCATCCGCAACAGGCCTTAGCTTTGCCTGACGGAGAGGCTGGTGCTGGCTCTGAAACTGTTTGATGTTGGACCTAAAGCGATGGTTCAGGTGTAGAAATTAATGTTAATGCAACACCCTTTCTTCCAGATTTCTCTTGGTGCTCCAGTTGCAAGATTTTTCTTTTCTTACAGCCTAAAGAGATATTGCAATCGAGTTTTATCTGTGAAACCTTTTTAGTTTTGTTAACAGGGACTATCTTTAGGTTTTGGGACAGTCAATGACCATATGTATGGATGACAAAAAGTCAGAATCCATTTAGATTCTTTGAAAATCAACTGAGTAAATAAATGTGATGTGCCTGCATAATATTTCCCATGAATATTATACACTAATAAACTATACATAATCACTTAATAAGCTGTACTTCTTATATAAATGTAGGTGACCACAATTCACGGATACCGCATAATCACACTGCCAACGTGAGGTTTCCACAAACATTGTGTGTGTTTGTGTTTAGGGCTTCAATTCTCCTTCATGATGCTGCAGCGCGTTTACTCTGTATCATAATAATCTGCTGCCTCTTACTCGCTTGTCTGGAGCTGGAATAAAAGGCCATTTTGTAAAACGTCACTAATTGGCACTGACATGGAGCATTTATTTGGCATACATGTAAATGCCCTCACATACAAGTATAATGAGTTGCAAATAATGATCTGTGTATCGCAGTGTCAAGAATTATGTGTTATATAAGAGCATTATAACTAGACAGGGGAGACTCAACTCTAAAGTGATATTTGATGTTATATAGTGAACAGAAAATGCTTACAGATAGTGACATAGCCATGGCCAGTTGCAGTTCTTCTTCCTCCTCCAACCAGAAGCATGTTTTCCTCTCTCCTTCAGCCTCCTCCTTCTCAAGGCGGAGCTTTTTCCCATCAAGACCTTCAAGTTCCTCATGGCAGTAAGCTTCCTCCTTCCCCGGACGCCCCTCTGCCTCCTCCTGCCAGCCGCCCTCCGCTCCGGGGACGTCGCCGGCCCCAGCGGGCTCTCGCGCGAGTAAGGCGGCGACCTGACGCCTGTACTCCTTGTTCTCGGCCTCCTGTGCGGACATGTGGAGGGCGAGGGAGAGCAGGTCGTCGTCGTCCATGCGGAGACCCTTCTTGAGGTCGTCTTCGTCGTCTTCGTCGTCCCTGAGGGAAGGACCTCTTTCCATTAGCCAAGGTTAATTTCACATGCACTAACCAACCCACGCACATGAGCACACACACGAACACACATACACACACGCGCACGCACACATACATACGCACAGTACATACACGCACAAACATACATTAAAAAAAGAAGAAAATCACGTACCGCTTCCAGCAGGTCGAGCAGCGCGAAGTTAGGCTTCAGCGTCCAGAACTGGTCGCGGTCCTGCCGGCAAGAAGGGCACTGGAACACACTCTTGCGGTTCTCCGTCCCTTGAAGGAAAGATTTTCATTGCCTTTCCATTTACTCATTAAGCCTTCTCTAAATGTATCTATTCATTTCACTTATTTATCTACATTTTTAAATTATTATTTCTAAGACATTCTTATCTATTCTATCTACGTATGTATCTATTTATTCATCTACTTATTCATTTATTCATTCATTTAAACGTTATTTCACATACAAACACACATATATGTATATATTTTACCCTGTCACCCGTTGTATCTTCTCTTACAGCAACATATTAATTATTGCAGAAATAAAACAAACAAAAAAACGAGGCACCAAGACACTGAAAACAAAGACACAACGCAACGCCAAACAAAAAAATAAATAAATAAATAAAAAAATAAAAAATAAAACAAAGAAGCACAAACCAGGAAAGAAACCAGACATTAAGCCAAACACAGATTTCACAGAAAGACAAACAACAGAAACCTTACTAAGGCATTCCTCGCAGAAGGTGTGGCCGCAGCTGGAGAAGATAAAGCGGACGACGATCGTGCGCGTTGTAGGTCGACCTGCAGACTGCACAGGTTAGCCCTGAGGGAGCCTGCAAAACACGGTGTCCTGTATATTAGCCCACAGTTTCTGACTGGTCTCATTTCGCTCTGTTAATTAACTGTTTCTCTTTCTCTTTACATACTTCCATATTCATAATACACACACACGCACACACATACACACTCAATATATATATATATATATATATATATATATATATATATATATATATATATATATATGAGCTACTGGACAGAAAGTGGTTGTGCCGATATAATTATCATCCCTTTCGACGACCTGATAACGTGCTGCGCAATAAGTTATGGCCCTGCAATACATCCCCACGAGCGGCTGGACCATCGATTATTATCAAGGGGGCGGGGGGAGGTGCCAAGAACGTGGCGTCACCAAGCAAACGTCGCAACTGAACCGGCTGGGATAATGTGTATAATAATCTATAGCGCTGCCAGTCTGGAAACATGACGCGGTTCGCCTATTAACGCGGTAGACTGGCTGGGCGCCACAGGCAGGTCAATCTGTCAGGGGGAACTGCAGCCGAAAGGAGTCTCCGCAAGACGAGGCCTCTGGGGGTGATCTCCGTGCGTTCCCAAAAGGTGGGAAGCTACGGACGTGCCGACCTCGGCTCATCCTCAATGCGACCGCGCCGTATTAAGGATGAGCCCAAAGGGGCGAGGCCCTTGAGGCGGAGTCGACGATCGTTGATGGCCCTCGCCTCTGTCGGGTGGAGCTCGCATGCAGTTATCAGAGCGCCTGAAGTCGCCTCATATTTCGTCTGATTTTGTGCGTTTCAGGCGAGGGTCTTTAATACATGCCGTGAACTTTATCCTTTCAGATCTCCATTAAAAAAAAACATTCATTTTAGCTAAACTAGAGAGTGGTTGACAGCGGAAGCACACACGAGAAGGCTAATTCTCAGCCATTACTACATAATGGGATTTATAGTGACGTGACTTTAGTTGTCATGAGCTTGTGAAAAGCATTTCCCTATATGGCTCGATGCAGGACAAGATCGAAATGGTCTTTAAGGTCTTTTATAGGATTATTATGCAGTAATGAAGGCAAGCAGGTGGAAGGCGGTCGGATTTGTAGCAACAGTTTTGATGTTTCGCGGGACATTATCTTATCTACGCCATCGAATGAACTGGTAAAGGTTTGTCAAACTATAATTTTCATGGCATTAATCAGTTCTAATGGCTTTCGGTTTTCTATCACAAATTTTTTTTATGTCAGTTTTTTTTATTATTAAAATAGCTATTTGAAGTTAGAACTTTTTATAAGCTAAAAAGGAAAAGAAACACATGGGTATGTGCCGTCGAGGGCTCAGGACAGTTACTGTTGTCGAACTGGTTTCATTCTGTTCTGAAGCACTGAAAAACGTATTTTTGTTGTATTTCTTCCTATTATGAGAAAAAAAAAGCAAAAGTTAAAAACGATAGAATAAGTGAATTCTTCAAATTTTATTTTCGATCAGCTAATGCCCCCAAAAAGATTAAACGAGATATTTGCATATCGTTCACAGATTTCTCCCATTCGCCATTTTTTATTTATTTCCAAAGAAAAAAAAATACGTACAACGATACTATTGCTACCTTTTAAACCTACAAAGATGCAAACCATATGGAAGTTGCTATAAATGTTTCTAAATGAACATTACCTGGTTTTCAGAGCTGTTCTCATTATGCTGATCTGATGAATAAACATTTCCCTATGTATTGTACATGCAGTACATGTGCCTGTTGATTCTTTAATTGTATTTGTTTATTTTATATATACCGTATACCTATAAACCAACACAAAGAAAAGGACAAGAGGACAGAATTAGACGAATAAAACAAACACAAAACGCCGCCTTGCCTCGTGCACACGCGCGCGCCTGAGTCCTGGCGGAGGCCTCCTTGACCCAAGACGTCGCGAATGCTCTCTTGCAGGTCTCGCGAAGTCCCTGACGGCAGGCTATCTAGCGCTGTCAGCAGTCTTATCAGCAGCTCGAGGGTTTTGTTCAATTTTTCTTGGCTCTGCAAAACAACGAAGGTAGATTTAGCGACTGGAGATGAAAAGCTATTATTTAAAGAAAAATTGAAAGGAAAATGGTCTGCAGCACAAGGTAGTGAAGGAGGAAGGGGAAGAGGAGGAACGGAGGAGGAGGAGGAGGAGGATGTGGAGGAGGAAAAAGTGGGAGAGGAGGAGCTGGAAATCAGAAAACGAAGAAAACAAAAAAGAAGGAGGAGGCGAGAGAACAAAATACAAATATACGTAAAAAGAAAACAGGGAAAAGTATATTCCTTTTACCTATGTCCTGCGTAAACTTTCTTTTTGACAATAATTAATATAAATCATTATTGTCTCACCTCAACAAGGGCATTGATGGTCTCTGAAGTCCGCTCTTGTTCCTTCCGAAGGGCGCACATGTCCTGTTAAGTGAAGTACATTCTGTTATATAAACTCAATCGCACAATTACTGACATGTATATTCATGTATATGTATGTGTGTGTGTGTGTGTGATATGTATTACATGCCCTCTCTTTCTCTCTCCTCATCTCTCTCGTTCTCTTTCCCCCTCTCCATTCCCCTTTCTCTCTCTCTCTCTCTCTCTCTCTCAACTCTCCCTCTTTTCTACTATCTCTCTCATTCTCATTCTCTTTCTCATTCACTCATTCACTCACTCAATGACTCCCTCCCCTTCCTCCTCCTTTCTTCCCAGCTTCTCCCTCTCTCTTTCTTTCATCCTCTTCTCTTCTCACCCTAGCTCGTTATTCCTTCCCTTCTTCCCTTTATTCCCTACCCTTCCATTTAACCTCCTTCCTCCTCCCTCCCTCGCTCTATCTCTTCTCTCCTTGCTCTCCCTTCCGCCTTTCCTTCCTCCGTCCCATCTCTCCTTCTTCCCTCCCTCCTTTACTCTCTACTACCCTTTCTCCCTCCCTCCTTTACTCCTTCCGTCCATCCATTCTCGTTCCCCCTTCCCTTCCTTCCTCTATTTCTTTCCTTCCTCTCCTCTCCCTTCCCTCCCCCTATCTTTCCTTACCCTTTCTTCCTCGCTTTACCTCCCTCCCTTCATTCTTTTGCCTCTTCCTTTCCTTTCCCTCGCCTTTTTCCCTTCCTCTCTCCCTCCCCCTACCCTTCCCTTCCCTTCCCTCCCTCCATCCCTTCCCTCTCTCCATCCATCCATTTCTTTCCCTTTCCGTCCTTCCTCCATTTCTCTTCCTTCTCATACCTTTCCCTTCTTCCTCCATTTCTCTCCCTTCTCATACCTTTCCCTTCTTCCTCCTTCCCTCCCTTCCCTCCTCCAATCCCCTTTCCCCTCCTTCCCTCTATCCAATCATCATCCCCTCTCTTCCCTTCCCTTCTGCCCTCCCTCTCCCTTTCCATCTCTTTTCCTTTTTCTCCACTCTTCCCTCCCTGCATCTCCTCCCCGTCCTTTCCTCCTCTCTTCTCTCCCCCTATTCGTGCTTTCTCTTCCTTCCTTACTTACTCCATTTTCCCTCCCTCTCTCCCCCTTCCCTTCCCTTCCCTCCTTCTCCTTCATCCATTTTTCTCTTTCCACTAACCTGTGCAAGTTTCTCGTGTTCCTCTTCCATCTCCTTTCCGCCTTTCTCCTTGAAGGCTCTGATGATATTGGGCGTTTCTTGAATCACAGTTATGAGAACTTCTTTCACAGCATTCACGATCACGCAAGGTATTATGACGGACATCTAAAAAAAAATGAAATAAAGATATAAGGTAATAAGGTAAATAAGTCAATAAACGATTATATTCAACGTATTATAATTTTTTCTATTTACTTTTCTTTTTAAATTTACTATTACTTTGTAGAGCGAAAGAAGCGTTTCAGAATTAGAGACATGGAGGAAATAGGAAATAGATAATGATTACACACACACATACACACACACACACACACACGCACACACACACACACACACACACACACACACACACACACACACACACACACACACACACACACACACACATATATATATATATATATATATATAGAGAGAGAGAGAGAGAGAGAGAGAGAGAGAGAGAGAGAGAGAGAGAGAGTGAGAGAGAGAGAGAGAGAGAGAGAGAGAGAGAGCGAGAGACTCGCTGTCCGATGTCTAATTAGCGTTCGAAACTTTCCTTCCAACAAGTTGTACAAGAGTTTCGACCGTTCGGAACCCTACTTTGTCGTCCTGGACCTCTTGTTCCTCTCGTCACAACAGCGTTTCTATATAAACATTAAAAGTTGCGGGTAACCAGAAATTAATGGTAATCGTTGTTATCAAAAGTTATTTTAGTGTTTTAGTGTTGGAGAGAGGCTCTGGGATCACAGTGACTATAAACCTATGCAGTGTAGAAAATAAAGACTGGTACGATAATGCATTGTGGGTAATGACGGCCCCGGAGAGTTCCGGCCGCTCTTCGTCCTGCTCGTTCTGACAGGTTGTCCGGACGAGCAAGGCAAGGTGTTCTGAACGCAGCAGTGTAGCGGTGTAATATATGAAGTGGGAGGCGATGTCCCACTCCCTCCACTATTATTACTTGTAGTTTGGTAGAGCGTGGTCGAGCGGTAAGGCAGTAGTAACTAAGGCTGACGTACTGGAGTACTCTGAAGATGTTGGTGCAGTTAAACTTGTCGCAGTTTTCTTGTCTTTATTCTGGGTAACTGGTACAGAGGGCAAGGCAGGTGCCCAGGGAGGAGCGCGTCCTGCCAAGCCCACGAGGGCGACCGGTCTAAGAGTATGGCACAGGAATTGCCATGGACGAAGTTCGTTTTTAAACAATATACAATGGAAAAACATGAAAGAATATGGATGAACATAAATTCAGAAACATTGGTTCACATGACCGTTTCGTGGAGAGGAACAAGGGTATATGGTTGACATGATATCGGTATGTTTTAACAACCTTACATCTGGTGGTTAGGGGACAGAATTACTGAGTGTTCATGAAACATGAAACACTTGAATATCAATAGTAAAATCAGTTACATACATAGTGATTTAGATCAAGCATTTTATAAGAAACATTTTCAGTATAAACAGGACATATTTATACTTGAAGACAACAGAATAAAAATTGAAAATGTATGATAGTAATAAGGGTCAGATTAGCGTGTTCTACGGTTACTTTGTCAATGTCGGGCACAGGGCAGGTTGAAGTACTTGTGATATAAGAACACATGGCTTTCGTGGTCTTCGAGGGGTGAGCAGCGAGGGGAGCAGGTCACTAGAATCGGGCGGGTAATCCCACAGCACTAAAAGCAAATCTGATATCAGAACAAATATACATCGAGAAGTGCCGTCATTCCTCTGGTGCTGACTATTACGAATTATCAATAATAAATAGAGCGAACAGTAATTTGTGTACTGCAGGTCGTGTCCTCGGTAATTTTCACAGCAGTTTACGTTAAAAAATCCTTGGCAAGTTTGACCATGACGTTACTCCCTTTGAGAATAGTGACTCTGAGGTGTCGGGCGTACGATGACTTAAAAAGGAAGTAAAGATGGAAGGAAGAAAGGGAAGAGGGAGAGAGAGAGTGTGTGGGTGAGGACATGAGATAGATAGTTGCATATTTGCTTTAAAATAATGTTTTATTTACTTTATGTTATGAAACAACTCTCGTATCCCCTCATATTTTGCAAGCGAACGTAACCCCCATGTAAACACTAATTTTGTATACTCCTCAAGAATCGATCTGTGCTGCTAAACATTCCTCCGTATTTTATTCACGTTTTCCCCTCGAATGAAACGGATAGTGCGAGGGGGAAGACAGAGAGAAGATAAAAACATGACAATTCTGATGGTGTTGGTGATGGTGATGGCGATGGAGCTACTGCTGGCGGCGGCGGTGGTTGTAATGATATATGATGATGATGATGATACAGATGGTTATGATAATTATAATGATATTGGTAGGAAAAACGATGATGACTGATAATGATGATGATGACGATGGTTATGATAATTATGATACTGATAGGAAAAACGATGATGACTGATGATAATGAGAATGATAATAGGGACAATGACTGATTATAATGATAACGATGATGACGATAGAGAGGAAATGTAAACAGAGGAGAATGCCGATAAAAATAGAGAGCAATACAAAAGCACAAGAGAAAGAGAGTGCGTGAGAGAGAGAGAGAGAGAGACGGGGGGAGGGGAGTGAAAACGACGTTGTGTGTGTTACCGACGGCGACGGTGTTACTACATGGCAATAATGAGAGGAAGTGTAAACGGAAAAGAATGCCGATCAAGGTTTAAAAAAAAAAAAAAAAAAAAAAAAAAAAAAAAACAGTATGAACATTATGTCACTAGGTTTTATAAGCCATTAGTTGATTTCCTTGTCTTAATGTGTTCAGTCTTGTCCCTTAAAGAAAGCACTGTTCTTATACGCTACGAAACACAGACAACTCCTGTACTCACTTTAGAGTGGATATCAAATGTGGATATGAAATGCCCACGAAACCTTCTTTGCGGGATCACCACAACTCGAATGAACAGCTGCCGGGGTGCACAGTCAGCGTGTTTGCTGTACGATACGTTCGGCTCTGGCTAAAGAATGTCGCGAAACGTTCTGAAGCCAGACATGCCGCCTAAACACGGGAGGCGACTGAGAGTATTTTCTCAGAATCGTCCGTATGTCCCTATTCCTTGTCTATAACTTTTTTTTTTCTTTAATTGTTATGTTTTAATTTTATTCTTATTTTATTTAGATATTATTATTTTATTTATTTTTTATTATTATTATTTACTGTATAGGTTAGGCTTTTATAGTTTTATTTTTATTTTTTATTTTTTCTTCTATTCTTTTCTTTTTTTCTTTTTTCCATACAATTCGGAGTGCGATACAAGCGTGAAACAAATTTATTTTTTTCTTTAGTTTAACATCCGAACAGAAATCGCACTTGTCGCAGCTCGCATTCCGTACACTGTATCGTGTTTTTGTTTATCGTAATTTTTTGCCTTTGTTGTTTTCTCTTTCTTTGCGTATATTGTTTGTTTGTTTGTTTTATGTCTTATTTTGTGTTTTAGTTTTAGCCTGTCTATTTTCACCTCTTTCCATATACTCTCTTTTCCATCTTTTATTTCTTCTATCGTTTCTTTCCTTCCCACTCTCCTTGTATATACTTTTGTTTTGTTCTTTTTTGCGTCTGTTATTTTATACCAGTTCTTACCGGTTATATTGATTTTTTTTTTTTTTTTTTTTTCTTTTTTATTACCCTATTTATCACAAGATAAATTGCTTGCTGACTCATCCTAGAGTGAAGGTACATTTTTTTTTTTTTTTTTACTTTTTTCTTATTACCTTATTCATCACAAGATAAATTGCTTGCTGACTCAGAGTGAAGGTTGATAATTGCTTGCTGACTCATCCTAGAGTGAAGGTACATCTTTTCAAATGTATTTATATACATCTGAATGTTTTGTTTTCTTGTATTTGTATTTTTTCTCTTAATCTATATTTCGACATATTTTATTTTACTAGGAGCTGGACGTGATCTCTATTCTATTAAGGAAGACCACGTCCAGCTCCTAGGAAAATAAAATTATCAGGAACTCAATACTTAACTTTCTTTGTTATTGTGACTCTGGCAATTATTGTCCTCGGGTAAAAAAAAAAAAAAAAAAAAAAAAAAAAAAAAAAAAAAAAGTAATAATACATGCACTGACTAATATAGACTGTATTTAGAGGGAAACTAGGTCATATGTATACACTCTATGACGTCATCAGTCACGTAAAATAATGTAAAATAAAATCAGATTACAATATAAAAATGATGTGGGATGTCGAAATATAGATTAGGAGAAAAAATACAAATAAAAGAAAACAAAACATTCAGATGCATATAAATTTCGTGATTTTACTTTTCTTGACTTTCGTGATTTTACTGTCCTTTGGTCATTCGATAATTCCATTTTCCGTTTTTACAATATGCATATGATATGATGAGTTCGGTTTAACTGTTGATGAATACACCTTTTCCGTAGTCCTGCTAGTGATAGGAAGGAAAAGGTAGAAACAGAGCTCGAGATCTATGTAATGAACATTATAATAAACGTATCAAATGCTTTATATAGTATATTCATTCTCCATAACAACTGAACAATGTATGTGTATGTATGTATGTGTATACACATATATATATATATATATATTATATATATATATATATATATATATATATATATATATTATATATATATATATGTATATATATATGTATGTATGTATATATATATATATATATGTATATTATATATATATATATATATATATATATATATATATATATATATATATATATATATATATGTATATATATGTATATATATATATATATATATATATATATATATATATATATATATATATATATATATATATATATATATATGTATGTTGTATGTATGTATGTATATGTATATATGTATATATATATATATATATAGTAATATATATGATATATATATACATATATGTATATATATATATATACATATATATATATTATATATAATCATATATAGATAGATAAATAGATAGATATAGATATAGA